CTCATACGGGGGACCCCTTTGAGCCATACGGGCGACCCCTTTGACAAACTGGTGACCGGTATGGTTAAACTGTTACCGGTATGAACCCGTTTATTTTCATATAGGCGCCAAATGTTTTTTTCAGTAGGGTGCCCCACTGTCTTAGGTGTTAAACGGCATAATTGTTTCTTCAGTTGTGTGCAATTTGTGGGGTACAATTTTTAGTCGAAGAGGACTAACAACGCGTGTTCAAAATTGGGTGACTCGGGACCAAATGTTGAGGATTAACGTTGAGTTCCAGGGAAATAAATGAAAAGGTTTAACTTTTAGTAACAAGGGTCTAAAGGCGAGAACGCAACATTTAGTCCCAGGGTTCGAAAGGCAAGGGCCGGACCCACATTTAGTCCCGGGGGTGTAAATGGAGGGGCGCAATGGTTAGTTAGTACTCGTTTACAACTTTGAGGGACTAACGAGAGGGGCGCAAAAGCTGCTCCCGTTCCCGTTAGTCCCCCAGGGGACTAACGGGGTCGGTGGTTTGAGAGCATTTGGTCCCCGAAGGAACCAAATATCGCTCCCCTTTTTCTTAGAGACGGAAGCGCGGGCAAGTCAATAGGGAGTTTCTGTAGACCGCGTTTCCGCCTCCGCTAAGCCCTCCGCAACAAAGAAGCCGCAACTGCTTCTGCGCGCCGATCCCTACTGAAAAAAACCATTTGGCGCCTGTATGAAAATAAACGGGTCCATACCGGTAACAGTTTAGCCATACCGGTCACCAGTTTACCAAAGGGGCCCCCGTATGAGCCATAACGGTCACCTATTTGGGCAAACAGGTCACTTCTTTGGCAAACGGGTCACTCGTCGGGGCAAATGGGCGACTCGTTTGGGCAAAGTTGTCGCACGTTTGCTCAAACCGGTGAACATGTTGCACAAGCGGGTGACCGGTGACCGTCAAACTTTACCGGTTTAATCAAACGACTCTCGGGAGCCCGTTTGATATAGAACGTACAGATCGGCGGCCTGGGCACGCCTAGCTATTTGAGCCGTGGCAGCCAATGTTTCCGGAAGGCTGGGAGCGCCGGTTCATTGATTTCAGATCGTCCGCGTAATGCAAGTAATTGTATTTATATTTTATGTGCGCTGATGTGCGCTTAAACACATTTTTTTCTTTCTTTACGTAAACGCGCGACATTGGTGAGCCGATATTTTTGACGGAACTTTAAAACTTTGTCCATCTTTTTTGCCGCAATTTTCTTATTCAGCTCGAATCTCTCTCGCAGAAGACGCGACCGCATGAAAGAATGTACTTCTAGAGTGCGTTTCACTTCATTTCAAGACGCGGCGAAGGTAGCGCGAACACGTGCCTGCAAGAACATCGAGCATTGCGAGAGCACGCCCGCCGTTGCAGCAGTCAAATTACGAGCTCGTGCTGGGTGCTTTTTTGGCTCGGGCGCAAGCCGAGCTCATGGCCGACGCCATTTCCAGCATGCGTGCTGAAATGAGCGCGTTTGGGCCTGCTTTCCAAGGCTGCAAACGCGACGTGCAGTGGCAACTCCAAGAGAGAAGAAAAGCGCGTGTAGAGCGGTCCGTGCACCCTCTCCCCTAGCATTGACTGCATTGCAACAAAAAGCCAACCGCAAGTTTTTTTGTTCTTTTTTTAAGAATGCATGAGGAGAGGGATGCGAGGGAGGGGGGGTGGGGTGTCCCGGTGTCTTGCTCCTTGACCTCGCCAAATACTTTACTAGGGGGAATACATTCCACTCCTCTCAAATACAATAGCTTCGGCGCGGACACGTTTTCTGGGCTTGGCGAGAGCCATCTATCGTCGTGGAGGTCTCGGCTACCGGGCGGTAAATATACTTCGTTTCACCTTATGTGCGAGCGAAGGCAAAGCTGGAAGCGCGAGCACGAAAGCTCCGCGCGTTCAGGCTTTGCTCGAGCGCGCGAGCTGGGCAGAAACGCAAAAAGCGCTGCTCTCGCGCTTTTAGCTTTGCCTTCGCTCGCAGATAAGGTGAACCGAAGTATAGCTCAGTGCTGCGCCAAATACTTTGCTGCGCTGTGCCGCCGTAATCTTCCCAAGGGTTGCACGTTGCACGTGCCTCGTGCATCGACGCACCTCGCGGAGACGACACCGCCGCGGCCGCCGCGAACCTCCAGGTGCACACGCGCGTGGACTGACGCGGACCTCCACACCGTCAGCGGCGCTGTAGGCGTTCTGTCTAATGCAAATGAGCGGAGTGGAATGTATTCCCCCTAGTAAAGTATTTGACCTCGCCGTCGCCCCCTTCCTCCTCTCTGGTCAGCTCTGTCGCGTGACCAGAGAGAGGGTGGCGCACGCTCCAGGCTGATAAGCATAGCCAGATCCGGCTGCGCGCGCGTTGACAGTCGCTTGTTTCTTTGTCTGCTTGTTTTCCGTTGCAACTTCGTTTGTCCTGCCTGCTTCGATCTGCCGCCTTTCCCTGCGGTCTTATAAGAATGTCTCTCGACAACGTATGGGGTGTGCAACAAGTGTTCGAAAAGTCCTACGCGTATATCGGCAACAAGCGATTCTTCAAAGAAGTCAGGAATTCTTGCGGTTTGGCTGGGTTCGGCAAATGTCAGCTTGTGCGCCGCATCGTGTTGAAACTTTAACAAGCCTTCCTTCTCGTTTTTGTGTTTGTGTAGTTGTCCTGCTTTGACCGTGACGACAAATATCATGGATTACATCTTTCAAGTCCGCTATTATTATGGTAAGTGCGCTGCAAAATACGTGTTGGCAACGATTGACCAGTCGTCTACGCGTACTCTTCCAGGTTATCCGTAGAATTGTGCAGCGCCTATTCACGCGGCAGCCGGGAGAATAATTTCTCCGAAAGTCTAGCTGTATAGTTTAGAATTACCACGGTTCTTGTTTGCTTTGCAATCTTCTCAGTTGCATAAAAGTATAAAGTGCCTCGCACATTTCACAGATCGCTTGCACGTTTGTACTTGTCGTCAGAAGAGGTAATAAACTTCGAGGAGAATTGAAAACAATCCTTTGTGTCTGTTTTCCTGTCCATTCGCACGCACCTACGCGAGCGCATTTGTTCTACGTGTTTTCTCCATGTTATAAATACGTTGATGAGTTTCGGGACGTCCTAAATAAGTTTAAAATAACCTACCTCCCAGACGATACCCATTTAGGGCTAGCGAATCCGAATGGCACGTTCAAACGTGTGGTCACGTGCCAGGTCGAACGGGCACCTGTATGAAGCGGGCACCTGTATCAAACGGGCATCCGTATCAAATGGGTACCGTTTCGAACGGGTACCGTTTCAAACGGGTACCCGTACCCCATAATCACGTTTGATTCAAACGGATCGATAGGTTTGATTCAAATGGGTCGACCATTTTGAATTTCAAATGGTTTTTTTCAGTAGGGGAGTGCCATGACTGTAGAGTTCCGTGTGTCGTAGCGGGTTGCGGAGAGCGTTGCGGGACGGCGAAAACGATCGACGCAAGCTCCCTAATGGCACAGCCAACACGCGCCCCGTAGAGTCGTCAACGGGGGAGTTCTACTGAATTACTTCAGCGTCCGTGTAGGCAATGGGAAGCCCGAGTGAAGAGGCTACATATGTCAGGGAGAGGAGATTCAAGAAAAATAGTGAAAAATAAACAAAAATCTTCAGTCTACCACCTGAAAGGACACGACCGATTTCAAGTCAATAAAAATTAAACAAATAGGGGAAACTAAATCGACAAAATGAAGTTCTTTAAAAAAAGGATTTAGTGCGAAACCATCGCCAGGTGAACAATCATGATCAGCGGCTTTCATTGAAAAATATATAGTGTGCTTCTATATGTTTATATCTTAAAAGTATAGTTTAACTTAAATCGAAAGAATACAAGAATGTTAAAATCATCAGTTGTTTAAAAGTTTTCGGCGTCTTTAGTTGTTGTTGTAACTTGACTGTTCTGTTTGTTCCGTGGTTGGGTCAGTGATATTACTTGAAGTTGGCTGCTGAAACGCCGTATCCGTGCGTCAAAGGATAATAGTGTCGTGCACGCAAAGCAGATGATGTTACATGTGTTGGTTTCAGTAAGGACCAAGCACGACAATTATCGAATATCGAAACGTTCATTTCCGCAAATCCAGTCACGCTCTCCACTATCGCGTGACAACATTTATACTGATTTTTCCGTTCTACAAGAGCAAACCATGACTTTAAAAAAAATATGTGGAAGTTCCCACCCTGCTGTGGCTCAAGATGACAAGGTTGTCCCGCGGGATCGCTCGTATTCAATCATCACAAAGATCATTGTCGTTCGGAAATCGGTACACTGTCACATTCGAGCCTCGTGTTACTTCAACACTGAGAAACTCGGCATCACAACGGCATCGGTATGTCAGTGAAGACGTTTAAGGCGAACAAGGCCAAGATGACTGGGGGCAATCGGTGGCCGAGCTGGCTGGCGCACACCAGCTCGGACCACGGAAAGCGAAAGCTTGCGCTGCAGAACCCAGGATTCTGGGTTTAATCCCCACCCCTGCCCGTTTCGACCTGGATGAGCATCGTACCGGCGCGCGGTCGTGTATCGCTACTGCCATTGCCAACGGCTCAGGCAATTTGAGCGTTCGGCCCTCGTCTCTGACGTTGTCGGACGTCATCTCTCCGAGCGCTCCGGCTTTGTATTCGAGGCGGCGTTGGTTACGCTCTCGATCCTGTACCTTTGGTAAGGGTTGTCACGTGTTTCACCTCCGTCGCTGTGATCTGGTCGAGGGTTCGTAGCCTTCGGTTTTTTCCAGGTTACGGTGAAACGAAGTATAATTATACGCAGATCAGAATTGCTCTAGGGCTACCTGGTAGATGGCGCCAATGTGCCGTTCTTTCTTCGTGGAGGTTATAACCGTAAGCGGTTATAATCGTAAGCTGTTATAACCGTAATAGGTTATAATCGTAAGCGGTTATAAGCGCTTACGTGGTGGCCACCTGTATACAAGTGGCCGCAAAGCATTTGATCAGACTTAGACGCAAATATGTGAATCACGCATTTAAGTGCGAACTTACTTGAAAGCCAGTGCAGAAGTCCTCCATCGAAGAGCGCAATGTTCCTGAGAGTGAGTTTGTCCACGCACTTGCTGATGTCCCTTCCAGTCTTGTCCTGCTCGTCCATCTTGAAACTAAACGCTGTTCGCAGCATGGCACTGGCAGCGAATGCTCTGCACATGGACACGGTGTCGAATTGCTCCCCTTTGTCAGCTGTTGCTTCAAGGGCCTCTAAGAACTCATCAGTGCAGAGCTCCAAGAGGTGCGACATCTGTAGCGGAAAAATCATCCTGGTTAGTCTACTGTCCCTGCCACAAGAGTTTGACTGTCTTGCGTTTACAGGGTAATCGTTTTATCAATTCATCAAAAATCGCTTCAAACGAAACACACAAATGAGGACGAAAGGCGTAACTTGGAGTCACTTGAAAAGGTGACCAGACGGGTTGTTGTCTGATTGGCTTAAATGGACACTGACAGGGTAGTTATGCTCGCCGAGGTTTTTAGTTGTACGTGACATCTGAGAGACCAGCTACCCAGAACAGAATTTGCGGTTCGAAATTCGGTTTCTTTCAGCCCGAAAACCGCCGATCGAGAACTGGGCGGTTTGAGTCGCGCTCACTCTCTTTTCCGTGGTGACGGGCCGTTTTCTAATGTTTAGACACGACCACCAAATTTAATCAAAGTGGTGGTTCATTGAAGACACACAGTCAATACTAAAAATAGAAAAAAAAAGTGAAACCGATTTTTTTTGGTTTCCAAAAAACTACAAACACGTGATTGAAAGAAAAGAAGAAAAGGTTGCACAGACAACCGGACGCATTCTGTGTGTTCGCTGCATAATTCTCAACACGGCGTCGTTTCGCGTTTCGTGGGACTTGCGGGTGGCAGCGGACGACGGGCGTGGGAACTCTACTTCAGAACTGTCATTCACGGTACCGGCGAATTCAGTCTTTCTTCGAGAGAGAAATATTCGACCGATCAAAAGAATTAATATTCATCCCGTACGACTCGCCCGACCAGCAAACTGATTGCACGAAGACGTCGCCGAGCCGTCGTCCCTTCTCGTGGCTGAAGACATCGCTCGCTCAAACGTCAAGCACGAAGTGCGTACTTCGAGTTGAATACGGTTTCTTTACTAGGTGCCAATGTGACCAATGCGTGGTACTGCCCGACTTCAAGCCAGGACTGCATGTACGGGAGGGAAATCGGTAGCAAACTTTCCGACATCCAGTCGACCGGCTGCATTACTATGAACGAAAGTGTTCTTTCAGTAGCTCACTGGAAAGACGTCCGCTTCCCACGCAGTGGGGACAAATGCCATCCCTAATGGGCGTTCCATTCTTTTTTTTTTTCAGGCATTTTGCGATGTTTAGATCTCTTTCTTTTTACAATTATCACTGAAAAAAAAATTGTTGTGGACAATACGTCGCTGAACTAAATGCTATGGGATTTCATTTTTAACACCTCTGCCGCGCAATCACTTTCAAATGAAGGACATGTGAGGCAGCTTTTGACGCAACATCTTGGGAGTATTCTTTTCGGAGCCGATCACGGAATTCACCACGGGCACTCACTACTAATTGCCATTAAATCTACAAAACAACTCATCTTGAAGTACAGAACAGCGAGCGGAACAAATATCACTGAAAAGGAATCGCACGGCGAACGTATTCCGCAACGTATTTTATCTGCAGCGCGGTGAAGAAAAAAAAATCCCACGGTTGGGTGTAGCCACGTGACTTCCGCCCATTCACTCTCTCCTCTCCACTTCTCCGTTCGGTGCGGGAGTTTCGGTTTCGGTTTCAAGCAGTTGCGTTTTTTGGCTTTATTAAAAAAATATTACGTGACTCTGTAGCAGAATATTAATTGGGTCGTAACCGACACCACAATAAATCTCCTGAAAAAAATTACGAAAAAAAAATTGGGGGGTGCCAGTGTCAGAAATTCCGAGGAGGTTTCTGAGATCACTTAAATATGGTGATAACTCATTCTGCTGGTTCTAAGCATCCTTGAAATCCATAAATAACAACGATGCATGACCGATTTCCCAATAAAAAAAGAACAATAAAAAAAAAGAACACACCAAAATCATATTCGGCGATGGGCGGGGCATTGTTCCGACAGCCAGGACGACATCTCACCAATGAAAACGCGACATTTCGTGGAGATCGCAAACGCTCTTATTAAAAATGTACAGGGAGCCCGCGAGAAAACAGGACTGTGTTTTCTGCACCGCAAGAATAAGCTCCGTTTTACCTTACGTCCGGACGCAGCGAACGCTACAAGCTATCCTAACCAATCCCGTTCTGTGGACTTAGTCCGTGATACGCTTTCCACGTGTCGCTCTGTCCCCTCTCCAAGGTAACGTAACGCTCGCACGGCCTTTGATTGGCTCCGATGGATCGTAACACTCGCTGCGCTCGGACGTAAGGTAAAAAAGGAGTATAGACATCGCGGAGAGCTTAAACTCTGTCAGAACGTAGCCCCAGCCGTTCGAGGAAGATGCCAAAGTTTCAACGCTTACCATTACCGGAATAAAAAGTAAGAAGTGAAAAACTATTTTTTGTTTTTAAGAGGACGCGTCCTTGAGAAGCAGCAGACGGAATGCCGCTATTCGTGACCGCATCCCTCAGATGGCGCGTCCATCGGACAAGGGCTTTTGGTTAGTTTCGGGTTCGGTCTGGCAGTTTGCGGCACAGTACCGTCGCAGGGTTTCTCACGTCTCGGTTTGGGTAGAATTCCATTCTTGTGTTGGACTTTTTTTTACCCAGGTTAGGCTCGTTAAATTGTGTATTTGTATAATGCCTTTGTTTACCCTGAATCATGATGTTTAGTTGCTTCACCAGCGGACTCGGCATTTTTGTTGCTGTGAAGTTTAACATAATGTGCCACGCCGGACTGCAAAAGATAAAGGTAACGAAGGAGAAAAGAGGGCGGAGCCGCGACAAGTGTGGCCAGGCTCCGTGAGGCAATTATTTGACAGCCCTGCAAAGGACCTTTGTCAGAGTAATCAAATAAATGAACCGTACACTTGACGGGAAGATGTTAGTTTGATCAAAAGACTATTGTCTGATCAGTTCTAGGCAGGGCCCTAGGGCTCTACTTCAGACGGAAGCAGGACTTCGACGTGTCCTCCAACTCGGCAAGTGCAGAGGCCAAGCCTGATCTCATACTCTCCGCGTAGCTCGCTCTTGTCCCTTTGTGAGAGGGAACGCTACCTCGATGCGCTGCTTTAAGGCGTCGAGTGTGGAGATGCGGCCCTTGTACACCTGGGACTTCTGAACAGAGTGTCGAACCGAAATTTTGATCAGTTCGGTTCCGGTTTGGGTTCATGGCTTTCGGTTCGGTTCCAGTTCAGTTCCGGGGAGCAAAAAATAACGGTTCGAACCGGTTTGAACCGCTAAATTGAGAATACATTTCCTGCGTTCTTCTGGCCATATACACTATTTACGCCGTGAAACGAATAACTATATAGTTTCTTCGATCGTCTGTGCAATTTACTTTTGTTTTTAGGTACGAAAAATATTAAATTCAGTTATTTAATTTCGACGCAAGAGTAGAAAAACATCTACATTAACATACATAACGTCGTGTTCATACGACTCCACATCCCTTTTTTTACCAGTAACATATATTTTACCTGAATAAAAATGTTTAAGTACAAGAGCAAAGAGTTCAGCTGGTTGGTACATACCTGTAAATAGATCAGCTTCAAATTTAGAACTATACTGTATTTTATTGTGCTTTCTTCGTGTTTAAGTAAAATTCTAAAGTTCAAGCTGACCTATTTACACGGTATAAAATGTTGTCGCAAAGTGCGGTAGGTCGCCTAAAATACACGTGATTAATACAACTTTGTGTCGCAGTGTTAAAAATGAAATCGTGATTGTGTCCTTGAACCAAGGAATTAATTACATCACATAAAATTATGAAATGAGCACCTCGTGCTTATGCTAATTACGAAATAAGGGTTACGAAATTTACTTCACAATATATATGTATATGATGACGACACAACTGAGCTAAAAGCAATGAAATTTTCAGAATGTAACAAAAGTTTTAGGATAATTCCTTCCAGTCTATTTTTTATAGAAACACCGAGCGGCAATTCAAATGCTTGTTGTTCTAACCAAACATTGTTTACACTCAGCACCGCATGCATGCCACTAATCATGCAACAAGAAGTAATCGCAATTGTCCACTCTAATCTATACGCACCTTCGCACTCGGATCGAATCTGGCCCAAAATAGCGCTTGCCCAAGTGAAAATTTTCTTATGCAGAATAAGCTGGCATAGCCTGGCTGTTTAGGTTTGTTCTTGACAAGACACCGGTCAATTTAACCTGCAAATGAGCATCACCTTTGCTAACTGATGATTTTAGTTCGATAGCGTTAAGGAGCTCATGTCGCGGAAAAGCCGATGTCGGTGGCGTGACTGGAAAATCCGGATTGATCGATAGGCTCATGACGCCCAGAGCGACATACCCTCGCACAAGAATTTCAAGCAATGCACAATGCTCATATGAAACGTGACATAACGCGTGGAATGAGAGTGATTAAAACATGACATGTAATGCGAATTAAAGGTCGCCGTACGTCTCAAATGATTTCACTTTTGAACGTAAATATTGTACCATAAAGAAAAAAAAAAATTAAGAATTTTAGGCGGGCTTCGAGCCCACGACCGTTTAGTTGCGAGTCAGACGCTTTTCACTAGGAACGGCGCGAGCGACTGGCACGACAAAAACGTGCTTCTTGGTCAGAGCGTTTTTGCAAGCAAAGTAGTTTCCGGAGTCACGCTTTTTGGTCTGCGCCAAAGATGCACGGAAGAGGAGCCTTTAAAACACAGTATGTTTTTAAAACTCCCCCCTTCCCCCCTCACACGCACACGCACCTCTTTATACAGCGGAGCTGTTAAGGGCTAGTTTCCCCAGTGTCGTGTCCGTCAGCAAACAAATGATGACACTAAACTCTGGACAGCTAACGCCATCTATAAATGACGGCGGCAACCTCTTCAGGCTTTCCACTCTGGCTTGCCGACTTGCGGCCGGCCATTACTTCATTTACAGCATAGTACAGCTTCGCTGGTCTTCCTTCTTCACCATACTGGAAAGGCTGAAACTATTCCTGAGGAATTTCCTCCTCTGTTGGTGTGTGTGTTCATTCGACAATTTTATTTGACACTTGTTAACCGCAACCCTTCATTGCTTTTATTTTGCACCCCGTGAAGCTTAGATGGGTCATAAAACGACATCGGGTTGGAATGCTCAT